AAAGCAGTTGCAAAGAGGAATTGAAATCTGTGCCAGTCAAAGTGCCATGCTCAAGGGCGGCATTTCATTTAAGCAGGCATCTTATGTAAGATATGGTATAGAGTGGGTAAGGTAAGAAATATTGGCCCTAATGGCCTTTAAGTGCAGGCTAGAAAAGCACTTCAGGAATGACACAGGATGAGGGGATGATTTGATCGCCTCTCAAAGTCCCTTCCAGCTCTATGATTCTATGACAGCTATATTCCAGTGCACCAAAGTGGGCAGGGACACCTGGTTATTCCAGGACATCACTTTCTTGTTGCTGTAGCTGAGTAAGGAAAACAGGGTCACAGGCTGCAAGGCTACTGCTGCTGTTCTGTCCAGATTCGAGGGTGGCTATTGCATCCTAAAATAAGCTTTGGAAGGGCTTCATCTTGCAACATTGTTTTTAATAATAAAAAGATTTCCCATATTTTTGATGGCTGAAGAGGCACCTAGATTATTGTGTAGGATCACTTAGCAGCATTTAAAATGAACTAAAGTAATTTCAGGTTTTTAGGTATTACTAGCTGTATGGAGCCCTGTTATCCGTTAATTAAATAAGAAATTGACAGTTGACCTTATTCAGTACCAGTAATATAAACCTGAGTGTGATCCACATGATAGTATGAAGCATGAGTTATACTTCCAGGAAATACTAGGTTGCAACTTAAATTTTGGAAGATTTATCCTGATAAAGTTCTACCATTTACTTTGCATGGTAGAATAGTAACAATAAATGCATAGCAAAAACCTACATCTTTCGTATAGTGACCAGCAGGAACTGTCACTGGTGAATACAATCAAAGTTAGACATAGACACACCATTTTCAATGCTATTCTCCACCTAAAATAAGATCTATATCTGCAGTAAAATATTTAGACCTGTAGCAAATCCTGTACACTTCTCAGAATATAAGGGAAGAAAAGTGCTCTGATTTATAGGACAAATAAAGAAGTGGATTTTAGAATAGACAAAAGTCCAGAAACAATACATAAAAATTCGACGGCCACGCCTCCAAAAGGTTACTCAGTAGTAAAATGGAAAAAATCTTCAAAGAAGAAAAAATTCCATGGGCTTGTAGGAAAGTACTGAATGAGTGCACACTGGAGCTGGAAACTGGAGGGTGAAAAGCAGTAAGAGAAACTCAGGATATCATCCTTCCACCCCTACAGTAACTGACCCTCTTCACTGGCCCTTTATACATCAGTGCTATTGGAAGCTCTGTAACAGGAAGAGATTTCACGTACATAAGGTTTTCAAAAACAAACTGTAGCTGAATGAAAAAACATTTTTTCAGGGCATTTGCTGGGCTGCATTAATGCAGTGGCAACTACTCAGATATTGCATCTATACTCAGCTGTTGAGAGAAGTTTATTTAGCAAAGCCATTAAAGCCTGATTAAAATTTGATGGGATGATAGGATAATGTGGCAAGCCCACTGAGGTCTGAACTGCTGCCAGTATTGATTAACACCCTTAACACCCCAGTGGGAATCCTATCAAAAGCATATTTCAAATCTAAGCCATGGGAATCAGAATAAAGCCCTGGATAACAACTGCCCTATCATTCAGATGAGTGTTTTATGTCCCTATATGGTAAGTGAATGAAACAAGATAATGGAAAGTTGCCAAAGGACTGGTTCAGCTCACAGATGTACGTGGGGATTTACAAATGCCAAAAATATGAGGCCAGATTCATACCTGATATAATTTCATCAATTTAGCTGAATTTTCCAAGGCTTAAATATGGCCCATAGTCTCTGTACTGATCAGTTTAAATCAGACAAATATTTTGATATGTTGGAAGATAACAATTTATAGATTGTAAGGGAACACAACTGGCATTGAAACTGATACAGAAGTGATTACAGAGAGACCTGAGAGAGAGAAGACTGTTTTGCTGACAGGAAAAATGTAGTTCTTCCAACTGCAAGGCTGGCAAAGAAATGATATAAAACTAAGCATGAGAAGGGACAGAGGGGAACAGATGCAGAAGAGGATTCAGAGAAATATACAGAGCAAGAAGGAGGACACAATAAAATTGCAACTGGTATGTAGCAAGTCTGTAATTTCTTTAAAGGTGGAGATAAGAAGCTTGAGCTTATTGTGTCAAGGCAGAAGCCCAAAGAAATTTGAAAGAAGGAGGGAGAGAATGGCAAAAGCAGGAAATTGTTTTTAACTCAGGCATTTCTGCTATACTGGTAAGGCAAATACTGAGATTTGGAAAGAGCACAAAAAGGTTATGTTTTATGAAAAATCAGCCAAGCATGGTCTAGATGTGAAAGAGCACAAATTAAAAAAGGACGGAAAGAATGTTTGTGATCCAAGAGGACAAAAGGTTAGGGGAGGTGTTGCAGATGACCCTGTGGTTTGTTGAAAGAATGGAGCTGTTAACGATGATAAGGAGGAGGTAAAATCTAAAGGTTTGGTGGGTTGGTTTTGTTTGGTGCTTTATTGCAGAGGGGGCTTGCTTGGTTGTTTTGCTAAAGTAACTCACAGGTGCTTTGTTTCAAATCCTAATTCTACCGTTAGCTGTTCCCCTTATTCTTGTAGTAGGGGCCTGTGGTGGGAAACATCATAGCCCCATAACAGGGGATGGCCTTTTGTAAAATATCTAGTTATCACAAATGGGTCTTGACCCTCAGCTGAGTGTCATCTGCACAACTAACTGCTTCCAGGTGGCACTGATGGAGACAACAAAGGAAGGGGTTTGCTTATAGGTGTGACATGATTGCTTGGAGGGATCTGCTTCTACTTGTACATGGGGAATTTAGAGACAAAAAGGCTCCAGAGCACTGATGCAAGAGAAACTGTGAGAACATTCAAGGAGAAAAGTTGCTCTGATGCAAGAGAAACAGTAAGAACGTTCAAAGGGAAGAGTTGCTGTGAATCAGTCATAAATAGCTGGTTTCAAAGAAGTATCGTTAAATGTGTTTTGTTTGGAAAAGTTTGTGAGATGGCTGTGGCATTTGGCCACTGATGGATACATAGCTCCTTAAATACAAGTGTTGCTGGAAAGTATGATGAGTTGATATGTTGGCTTAGAATTACAACTTGGAAACCTAATCATGTAGCAGCCATGCACCTCTCCTTTTACCTTTTTTTTTCTGGTTTTTGTCTTGTGGTACAACCTGACATAACAGTACTGGTCAGTATCTGAGGAATGTTGCCCATAATGCAGGTTTTCATATACTGCTGCACTTGGGCTTTTCTTCCAATTGATTTTATGAAAGGAATTGAAAAAGTCTTAAGATGCTCTGCAATTTCTACAAATCGCAGAATCTGTATCGTCTGTTCTGTTTGCCAAGTTCATCTGTCTTTCTGTTTGTACCTAATAGAGTTTAATTGAATGATAGTAACTTTAGGAACTAGGTCCTCCAACTTCTTTATAGGCAAACAACTTTTTCAATTTAGCAGCCTGTTACGCACACTAAATGACTTAGCATTTAAGAATGTATAATTTCTTGATTCAAGTAGAGGTATAATACGTATTAGAGGCAGGTCCTGGTCTGGTATTGTTTCACCTGAGAAGATAGATTAATAACATGAGAAGCAAGTAACAGCAAGCCTCTCCATGTCTGGAGTTTTGTGGTTTGTTTGTTTTTTTGTGGTTTTTTTGGTAACCTTAATTATGTCTGAATACTAATTCTGAATTTCTTTAAATATTTATATCCTGACTAGTTAGATATAGGCCCCAAATCATCGAAAAATGATGGAAATGCTGAAATACTTTGCTGATCAGGGATAAAGTTAACCATGTCCTTACAGTTCAGCCTGTTGCTTTGCTGAATCTAATGAATTTACTGAACTTAGTGTAAACTTCTCCTCTACAAAAATCATCTTGGTTAAATGTATGAGCTAAGCAATAGAAATGTCCTGAGTGCTGATCAGAAAATTGCTACTTCTTTGTAGCTTGATGCTGAAGGTGTTGAAAGAGAAAATGGAATGTTAACTTGCTTACAGGGAAGAGTTGTTTGTTTTTGTTTGACTGTTCCTGTGAACATAAAAGCCTGGCTCACTGAATAATCCATGAGAAGCTAAATGTTTGTCAGCTGAGGTCGCAAAAATACTGCTGCTGTAAGCAGTCTGCTGTAAATGGTAGATAGGGCAGACCTCAACCAGGCAAAGAGCCTGTAATCAGATTTCTGTGCAGGTACTCACTTGGTCCCCATTGCCACATAATTCGGGAGTCTTCTGACATAGGAGGTACAGAAGTGTTAACTTTAACATTGCAGATGAGATACAGGGGCCTACCAATACTGACCAGAGGGACAAGCATGGTTAACAACATAACTCTTATTTACATGTTCAACTCCAATAGATTTCAGCGGGAGTTAAGCAGCATAATGCATTCATGGGTCTGAGCTTAACATGCTTAGTCAGCCAGGAAGACTCTGGAAAAGCTACATCACCCCTGAATTCCAGCCCAAATCTCCTTTTTGATCTAGTGTTCAGAGATTGTACGGTGTTAGGTGCAGAACAGACATGAGGTATAACCCTAAACTTTTTCCAGGTTTTTTTATTTTCTAAACAATCAAACCCCCAAAAAAAAGCAAAATGTGAGGTAACAGCAGTACCTCATGCAGACAATCAAGGCTGAGGCAATAAAAAGACGTTTTTTTGTTTCCTGAGGCCATGGAGTAAGAGATGAAGAGAGGATTTTTCTGTCATTCTTGTATTAAAAAATGGTGTTTGAGGAATGTGTTCTTAGTAACTGAGGATAAAAGACATTAAATGCTGTCAGCAGAAAGATTATGGAGTGTGTGAAAATGTGGAAGAAAAGAGAGATAAACTGCACAATGAGAGATGGGATAGCTTGCACTGCTGACCACGTTAAATAATAGAAAAAATAAGATTGCAGTGGGCAGGGTGGCTGGATGGGTTACAAATGTATTTTATATATAAGCTGTAGTTAATATCACTAGTATGAAATTAATGAGAAATAGCTGTGCTCTTTGAACTTGCATCTTTACTTGCAGAAGCATGATGGCCACTTCACAGTCATCCAGCTGGTTGGCATGCTGCGGGGGATTGCATCTGGCATGAAGTACCTCTCAGACATGGGCTATGTGCACCGTGACCTGGCAGCCCGTAATATCTTGGTCAACAGTAACCTCATGTGTAAAGTCTCTGATTTTGGTTTGTCACGAGTGTTAGAGGATGATCCTGAAGCTGCTTACACAACAAGCGTAAGTTTGTCTTATCTAATTTGAACAGTTGATTGCCTTGTGCCTCTTTTATTCCAGTTTCAGATTTGTCTATGCCATAGGAATAGTAGTTTGAATTGGCTTTGTTCCATTTTCAGTCCATGTGGCCTAATAGCACTGCTAATATGTTTAAGGGAAATTGGTTTGATTTTTGGCTGAGGGATGTATATAAACTTTGGCAAAAGTTTGGTTTTAAGTAAATGTGCAGTTCTAAGCAAATGTTTAAATAGAAGTGGGAGACCTTTTCCATTCTTGTTTGGGTTGTGTGTTTGGTTTTTGCTGGTTGTTTTTTTTCCCCACATCATTTCCCCTTCTGCTACCTTGTGTGCATCTACAGAAATATGTGTTTAAAAGAGAGATATGGGGAAGGACACAAACTGGCCAATTCCACTGTTGGAAGCATGGTGTCAAGGCTTGAATTCATAAATTAAAATTTTCATTTTATTTCACTTTAAGCTTACCTTCTAACAGGATGCGTAGGACCTCTCAAGATTTAAGTCTTCTTTCATGAATACTTAAATTGCTTATGTGATGCAAGTAAATTGTTACAGTGGAAAATGTTTTGTTGGTGGGGTGGATTTTTTTGGTTTGGGGGGGTCCACTGAAGTAAAAAAATCTTGGATGTGGAGAAGCTTGTTCAAATTTGACTTAGAAGAAAAAAGTAAATTGCACTTTCACTATGAAGAAAGTAGTAGGAGGAGTGTGTTGGTGCTAATAAAATTACAAGTTCAGGTACAGCATTTTTTTCACCATACCAAAAAGTTCAATTATATTCCTGTTATGATTATTACCACAAAATTAAGAATCTTAGCTAATTATAAGCTGATTTCAAGTAACTTTCACATATATCACTGAAACTAAAATTATTTCAGAGCCGGAGTGCATTCTCATTAGTACTCTCATAAAATGCACAGAATTTGTATGTTCCCATGATAGGGCACAGTGACAGAATTCTAATGGAGATAATAAATTAACATTAAATAATTTCTTTTGACCTATTTCAACCTGTTCTTTTTCTATTTCATTTTTAAAAAGTGATGTGTGGCCAAAATGAGGAACTCTTCTACCTTAACTGTATTGTAGTAGGTACTCTGGTGTATCTGTTGAATTCAGTATAGCTATTGTAATGGGATTACAGATCTTTTTGTTGTTGTTGTTGCTGTTGCTTTTTAAGCCTAAAATAGGGGTATTTTGATAAATTCACTGTAAATTCCACTACTTAGAACAAGATCCACACAGAACTGTAAGCTGACTAGAGCAAAACAAGTCACTACAAGATTTTCTATCAGTATTTAACATGCAAGCTGGGGAAAAAAAACAACCATAGTTTTTTCTTTATAGGGGAGATTTCCCTCATTTAGTTCTCAAAACCTCTTTTGCTTCACACTGCTTCTTAGTATGAGGCTTGAAAGGAAAAATAAACATTACTGCGGCTTAACACGTTATTGCATGTTGGCTGACCCTTGCTAATTGTCTGTGTGAGCGTGCTCAGCTGGCAGCAGATGCCCCCAGTGACAGGCAAGTGAAGTTACATTGCTCAGCACTGATCATGGGCTAATCAGCTCAGCTGGTGGAAGGCACTGGAAATTGCCGAGCAGTCTCTCCCAGTTAGGTTCAGGAAAAATACCAAATAATTGGAGGCTTTCAGCTATTATTTATACTATAAGTTTCTACTGGATACCAATATTGAACAATTAGTTTTTCAGAGTAGTTAGTGCCCGCCTCCATCTTAGCTAGAGCTGCTTTTCTTCAGGAAATGCTGTGTTGTTGAAAAGAGGAATATTTCATGGCCATATGTCTGTGTTGAAGGACTTTCTTGAAACATAGGACAAGCTTTTATGAAATGCTCAGTATATTCCTATCAGTTCACCTAGCTGGTTAGCATGAGAGTCTGAGGCAGCTGTTGCGGGTGGAATTCCTGAGAGCCGTTGCTTCGGTCCTCCAAGGTTTCCACCACATCTGTACTAGAAAATCATCCTGAGCAGGTAAATATAGCATGTCCGTCAGGATACTGCAGATAAGGACGGGACATTGCAGAGGCTGATGGCCAGTGGCTGTGGAGGACTCAGTGAAGACTTTCACCCTTTAAGCAGTCTTTCATGGTAAAAGAAAAGAATAGAACCCCACACTGGATCTCGTGTCTTCTTGCAGCTTTCACTGACCACCATTATGTCATTGACCTGTCTCCTCATCATTAACATCTTCCCAAAAGCAGGCCACATATATTACTAGAGGTTTTTATAGCATCTTTACTGTGCTTTTGCCACATGAAGGTTAAACCCTCAGTGCTTTCATGAAGGTTCTGGTGCTTTTAGAATTCATGTTTCCTCTTCACAGAGATCTTTCTTGATAACAGCCCAGTACTTGTAGCTACAAGAAATCCATGGAGTAGGTCTGCATATTGAATAGTGTTATTTTTAGGCTCACATCTCCTAGTACACCACTGTGTGTCAGTACTCAGAGGAAACTGATTATATTTTATTCCCCTTTTTGTCTGAGTCTTGGTGTCAGAAATAGAATGGTAAAATTGGATGTTTTCTTTGGAAACAAGACAACCTAAGCCAATCACAAGCCAAAAATTTGAATTTTATATCCACACAACTGTGATGCTGTGGTTAATACTCTGTGAATGTATTCCAGACATAAAAATTGTAAATTGATGCAAAAGACAAATCAAATTTTAGAAAACTGTCATGCTCTGTGGTGAAACAGGTTGCATCCTCAAAAACATAAGCTGCAAGGCCATCTTACCTTGTGAATTTACTGTGTCTGAGCAGGCACAGCCTGGAGTCAGATGTTTCGCATCTTTTGCTTTGTCTTCCTGTTGTCATCAAATATATGTATCTTCCACTTTACTCGCTGGTTTAGAATAGTTCTTATATTCTTTCTACTGACACATCCTCCCACATGCAGTGCAAAAATCAGAATCAAAGTCTAGGAAAAGCAATAACACTGATAGGGAAAATCTGGAAAGCAAACCATCTAGAAAATGGCTACATCCTGTGCTCACACTGAAATGCTACTTAGGAGACTATTCAGCTAAGTGGTTGTCTTGGTTTCAGCTGGGGTAGAGTTAATTTTCCTCCCAGTACCTGCTGTGTTGTGGATTTAGTATAAGAAGAATGTTGATAACACTGATGTTTCTATTTGCTGCTAAGAAATCAAGGACTTTTTCCAGGCTCCCATGTTTGGCTAATGAGCAGGTGTGCAGGAGCTGGGAGGGAGCACAGCCAGGCAGTTAGCCCGAGCTGGCCAGTGGAGATATCCCATACCATGAACATCATGCTCACTTTGTAGAGGGAGGGTTGGCCGGGATGCAAGAACCTCTCTTTTTTCTAGGAGTTCGGTCTTTCTCTGTGAGTTTTGCAAGTTCTGTGAAATTCATGAGTTCAGCAAAATTTGTGAGCTCTGAGAAACCCACAGATTCTGGGATCACTGCTCAGGGACTGGCTATACAATTGGTTGTCAGGTGGTGAGAAAAGCTCTATTGCTTATAGCTTGTTTTGCACATTCATTGTTAGTAGTAATAGTATTACTGTTTCCTTTGTCTTATTAAACTGTCTTTACCTCAACCCACAAGTTTTCCCTTTTGTCCATTCTCCTCTCCATCCCACTGGGGAGGAAGGGGAGGGGTGAGTCAGTGGGTGTCTGGTGCTTCGTTGCCGGCTGCCGGGTTGCACTGCAACAGTAGTGATGGGAAAACTGACAAATGCCCCAAAATAACACAGTTCAAGGTCATTATGTTTCCCAAGAATTTTGAAATGACACTACTGGTCAGAGAGCTGTTAAATGCTTTAAACAGTACATGAAAAGATTGAAATGTCAGAAAACTTGTCAGTCCTCCAGCCTGTTGAGACAAAGAATATAAATGTGGTTTTGATAAGGCAGTTGGTAGGAAAGAAGAGATTGGCCTCTCTTTGCTGTCGGGAACCGGCAAAACTTACAGCAAGATATGATTTTAGAATAGGAAGAAGGAATTAAGAGCTAGGAACATCCATCTGCCAATCTTTGAGTTTCAGATTGATCAGGAAAAGATAAGGTAAATTTTGGGATAACTGAATAGCATGGGTTTTTCCATGGAGACAAAATTTTCATTTCTAGTAGTGGTTTCCAAGGCAACAGTAGCTCATAAAAAGAAATTTCTAGTATATAAACAAGCATTCCTGTCAATACAGAGGACATCTAGGCTTTTGCATCCCTGCTTTTAGATAGACTATGTTATATGCTGTAAATTCATTACATTTAAAACATAGTCAGGGTTCACATGTATTTCAAAAAGAACAATGAGCCTCCAGGAAAACTTTTTACAAGTAGCAAAATGTGTACACATATATATGTATATGTATAATCAGAACAGGATCAGGATCGCAGGCAGGATAAGGAGCAGGGTCCTCTTCAGCAGCTGGCCATGGACAAAGAGAGCGAGACCCTCGTGATCCCCCAGCTTTAAACTGAGTGCGATGTGTGGCATGGAATGCCTCGCTGGTCAGGGTGGGGTCACCTGTCCTGTCCGCCCCTCCCTGTGAGTGCAATCCTTTGCAGCTCCTCACTCATGGGACCTAAGAGGTCTGACCGTGACCTTGGCTGCTGTAGTAATAATTATAAACAGGGGTCGCCTTCTGCATTCCTTTCCTACCGTTAGCTCAGTGTAGCTGTAAACATCAGGTGCTACCAGCTTTGGAGCGGACACTGTCTGTAAAATATGCAGCCAGCTTCAGAGAAATGCAGTTACTTAGCAGAACTCAGCTGTAAGGAAGATTCACTAAAAGAGAATCAGTTCTGTTTTAACCAAAACCAGGACATTATGTCAAGACATTTTCCGTTTTCTTTTACTTGTACCCAAATAATGGGTATGGTGGGAGAAGGTTTAACTTGCTAGCAAGTGAAACAAGAAGGAAATGATTTTCTAGTTAATTTGGGATGTCAAACAATAGTTTCTGAACAACCTGAGTGCTATGACAAGCATATTGCCTAGACACTTC